AGAGTGTACACATATATGTAACAAATTCCATTCCTAATTATATTCCTACTTTTTCATCCTTATACATCTAGATACATAAAAAAATGTATAAGAATGCTGAAACAATGTTATTTCAGTTGCAAAAAGTAAGACTGCCAGATTTAAGGGTGCCATTCCACTTTAATACTTCCCGATTGCCCGTCACTGCTATATACTGAATGAGTTTTATCTTGGGAGGAAAAAAGCGTCTTAGATGACACAATTCAAAACTATGATTGTGCACATGTAGAAATTCTCATAATTCGTACACTGAGCAAAGTGGTTTTGATGGAGAAAACGGGGATCTGAGGTAATACATGCAATGGAAATAACTTACTACAAAAATAAGTCTGTAATGCTTGCAATATATTTAACTTGCATTATAATGTTTGATATTCTCTAGTTCCCATGTAGCAGTTCCCTTTTTATCCTAAATATATTTTTAAAATAATAAAATAGAGAAGGCATACAGCCCCAGACAGCAGGGACTTTCACCGTTTGATTGATAAAAAGAGACAGTTTTTAACAGAACAATTCAGGAAGATATACAGAGTACGTCAAAAAGGTCAGAAGCAAATGATGGTGGACAATGAGCAGAGCAAATGGACAAAGCAAAATTCCACATAACTGCAGTACAGGGAACAGCAAAGAGCAAGACAAAAAAGGAGAATGGCATTTTATAATGGCTGGCTGACTGAATTGGTTCAGCTTCAGTTCTGACCGAAAAACTACTTAATGCTCTCTGTATAGCAGACGTCCATTGATTTCGGAGGATTTAGAATCAGGCATAGCGTTATTACTGTTGTTTAGGTCAAACATGTGAATGATCCAAACAAATAGCGTTAAAAATAATGCTTACATGTTCAACAGTGTTTCATGGGGCTTAACTGAAGGCTGCTCACTCAAAGGAGAGAGCTGTAACTTGCAAACAGAAAATGCCTATGGACTTCATTAAAAGTTGTTGATAAGTGTTTTTTAAAGGCAACCCTGTAAGTCTCTCACTGGCTCCTCCCTTCACTATCCTGCATTTGTATCACAGGACAGGTGAGAACGTCTCTAAAAAGGAACCACTGCGTGATGCAGTGTTTACACCAAACAGAATTGTTTCAAAAAATATTGTGCAAAAGGAACTGTACTTCCTCAAAGAACAGAGCCATTCCTGTATTCTGGAAGAGTTTTATTTAGGGAATACTGTGGCCCATTCAAACTTCAGTTCACTCACACATAGCTTGCATTCTTCAACAGTTCCATCTGACTGTCCAAAATCTTTTCACGTGCAACAGGCTTCTTTTCTTTCTTGTGTAACCTTAGGCTAGCAAGTATTAAATCATTCAGCAATTTTTTTTATCCCACTCCTGATCCCACAGAACTCCCCGGACCTCTAGTACCCCACTGCTCTGCAATGGAAATCCTACTTCTGCTCAGCTCGTATTGGATGTTTTCAAGTGCCACTTTCAGTCATTCATCCTCTCTAGCCATCACTCCCCATTCTCCTGTACATTCAGCTTTCCTATTATTGGCATGTTTATACTATGCAAGACTGAGTTGGAAGAGTCTTCCAAGTCCCCAAGACAAGCGCACATAGCACTGAACACCTGAAGAAAGGGGTCAAAAAATCATATATGTCACTGCCATACCGCAGAGTTCACTTCCTTTCATGCTAGGGTGATGATTCATCTAACCAACCTTAGAGGAAAAACAGAGACCTGTAGAGGGCAAACTCTGTGGGCTGCCTTAGGGGATGAATTACCTTCTGCAGTGCCTGCTTCTCTGCATGGGCCCTAAAGGAAGCCTTGGGTGAGCAGCTCAGATTGAGATGGCTGACTTTTGGAGGCCTAAACCAGGGCAGACAAATTCCATTTTAGCTATGCTTCATTTACAGATTACTCTCTACAGCTGCTACCGGAGAATCAAAGGCTAAAGTTATCAATACAAATAGCACAAATTTCTTCAATTTATCTATCTCTAGATAGTTGTCTATCTAAATTTTGAGAAATCAAAATGAGCAGAACCTGTTATTAAACCAGCAGCTTATTCAATGCCACTGAGTTCTTTACTACCAACAAAAAAAAGCCATGTTTGAAAATAATTGGCTGCTAACCAGAAAGCTTATAGAGAAGTAGTTAATAAAATTGACAGAATCGTCAGCATTTTATTTCACATTTGCTCTTGAAGTGGTATTGTGCCTCTGTGTGTTTCTCCAAGTGTCTTAGCAAATGTGACGCTTCACCTACGGGTGAAATCACCATTAAGCCTGATAATTAAAGGAATGTCTTTTTCAGATCTTTGTTGGGCTTCTAGCTCTCTACTAGAAGAAGGGTGTATAGCAGGCAACTTTCCACTAAAAGCAAGCTGACTGTAAAAATGAAGCCAGTAAGTCTATATGTAATTTGATATATGTGATTTGATTTTCCCAGGCTGCCTGCTGCTCTGCGACTGCTGCTTGAACTACATTTTTTACAGAAATTAATAAATGTTTCTTGTGTTACTTTGCAGTCTGTCTCTATGACAGGCTTGAGATGTGTGCCCCTGCAAACCTCATGAAGTTCATACGAAGCCAAGTGCTAGGTCCTGCAGATGGGTTGAGGCAATCTCAAGCACTAATACAGGCTGGGTGGAGAATGGATTGAGAGCAGCCCTGAGGAGAAGGACTTGGGGATGTTGGTGGACGAGAAGCTCAATGTGAGCTAGCAATGTGTGTTCACAGCCCCAAAGCCAACCACATCCTGGGCTGCATCAGAAGTGTAGCCAGCAGATCAAGGGAGGTGATTCTGCCCCTTCTACTCCACTCTTGTGAGACCCCACCTGGAGTACTGCATCCAGCTCTGGAACCCTCAACTTAAGAAGGACATGGACGTTGCAGCGAATGCAGAGAAGGGCCACAAAGATGATCAGAGGTCTGGAGCACCTCTCCTCTGAAGACGGGCTGAGAGAGTTGGGGTTGTTAAGCCTGGAGAAGAGAAGGCTCTGGGGAGACCTTATAGCAGCCTTCCAGTACCTAAAGGGGCCTACAGGAAAGATGAGGAGAGACTCTTTATCAGGGAGTGTAGTGATAGGATGAGGGGTAACAGTTTTAAACTGAAAGAGGGCAGATTTAGTCTAGATATTAAGAAGAAATTTTACACTGTGAGGGTGGTGAGACACTGGAACAGGTTGCCCAGAGATGTTGTGGATGCCCCATCCCTGCAAGTGTTCAAGGCCAGGTTGGAAGGGGCTTTGAGCAACCTGATCCAGTGGAAGGTGTTCTCCATGGCAGGAGGATTGGAACTAAGGTCGCTTCCAACCTAAACCATTCTATGGTAACATTTTCTTGTTTTATCGCTACAATCTCAGCTTGGCCTTTCTGCCAATCTCTTCTCTGATTTGTGCTACATTGTTGGTTTTTTTTTTAATTTTATGGAGGAGAACAGACATCATTCTGAGGGTGACAATAATTTGAGTTAGTCCAATTTTGCATTTTCTTTACTATGTATGCCTAAATATTTCAGGCTGTATTTAGAGCTGGTGTAAATAAATCGTAGCTTCTCCACTGGAACCCCTATGCTTGGGGGATCATCCTAGCTCAGAATCCAATCATCACTTTTTTCTTTTGTCTTTTTTTCTCTTACATATTTCAAGATCTATCTTGTTGTGCTATTCATGAATCAGGAATAGATCCTGCCATAGCTGGGTAAGAGATCTGATAATGTTTTAAGCATTTTTTTAATGTACTTGAACTCAACTTTTACTCCTAAACTCATTAGGGGTGAAATCTGCTTCTGTAGGTAGAATCATAATGGTAATCATGGTAAATCTATATACCACGAAAAGTTTCTTCTGAATCTTCAAACCAGGACCAAACCAG